AATTTTTTATGGTGGTTAAGAGATCGGTCACATCAACTGAACCTGTAGAGATTCGTTAGTGAAAATAACAAATAAAATATAGTTTTTTCTTATAAAATGTTTGATAACTATCTGGATATTATAAAGATTTTGCATGGGAAATTGAAAATTTTCTGATGCATAAAAGTATTTTTAATCTTAAAATAAAAATTGCTTTGCATGTTTGATAGGCAATATGCGAAAAGGAAAAAGGCATGAGAAAAATGTTTAACAAACCTTAAGACTTAATAAAAAAAAAAATTCTGATATTTTGTGTATCAAAGCCTTGTAACATGTACTGATAATCTGTCAAATTTCATGAACACATGAATTTAAAATAAAAGCATGAAATGATTACAAGGTCAGTCCCAGGGACTGAGCCCATGCTGAAAGAGTTAATGACTTTTATAAGTTTAACTTGTCACCTGGATTGTGAAAAGTTATAAACAAGATGACGTGTCTAGTGCCATCTTATTTCGGCAACATCTCTTTGCGGGGAATCTGCCGAAATAACTTCATAAAGCCCGGTTGGCATTTGTTGATATAACCGGCATAAATGATAACAGACAAAGAATTTGAATGGCAAGTTAAAAATAAGCTATAAGTGAAAAGATAAAGGTGTGATATTACTCTTATAAGAAAAACATGACTATTTTAGTGGATTTCTACGAAGATATGTACGTATTTCCATTTGTTAATATTAAATATTTCATTGCACTCTATGCTGATGATAATAGATAGAGTTAGTGGTAGAGTAGAGAGAATGGAAAATAAAATATATATAAACAGTTACCTTAATCAAAAAACTTTTGATATTCATTTATGAAGTTCTAGAGATTATGCAAATAAAATGTGAAAACTGTAAGGCTAAAAACAGTATTTTTATACTTCATATAAAAATCTCTTTTCTGGTGAACTATTCAGTCTGAGTGCAAATAACTAAATGAGATAAACTTTTATTAGAAACAGTAAATAATTAAATATTCCATTTTTGTTGAAACTACATACTTTAAGAAATGTTTTTGTCAAATTTCAAACAATTTCATCCATTATTTTTATTTCTGTAACAAAATGTGACGACAGGGGCATTACCTTCTCTCTGATAGCAAATATGGGAGCCAAAGGGTAAAGTCCAGTAATTTGGAACTTCCTGATCAATACTACAATCAACGCAGAGGAAACATCCGTTGTAATCTTATTTAATATTTTTCAATTTTCCTATTTCACTGTAAGTTGATGATTTTGCTACAATCAGTTAAATGATAGGGTAGAGAAAATACGAGCTAACATATAAAGTTTTGCCAAAAAGGATGAAACTAGATATTCATATTGGAGACTCTAATGGTTATGTAAGATTAACAGAAGTATTTTTTTCTTGACATGTTTGTTTGTTTTGTGAACCTGTGGAAACTCATAAAATTTAATTTTTTTTTTAATATTCATCTACTGCTATTAAATAAAAATATAATAATTCTACATTAATTTGTAATCAT